AAACAGAACGCCCTCCACCGCCAGCCTCGGTTTGTCCCGCCCCCGCTGCGCGGCGCCATTGAGGCGCATGCGCCACCCGTCTCGACTGACCCACTTTTGGTCCCTGTGAGGAAGGGCAGTGAGTCCACTCAGGCATGGCAAAGCCAAAACAACAAACTGACTCAAAAAACTAGATTTTGTGACTGAAATTAATGATATTAAAAAAGCTTCCCTACTAAGAAGATTGATGTGAGAGTTCGGAGCGTTTTGCTGCTTCAGCTTTACCTCCAAGCGGTCCCCTGTGCAGAGGGTACAGTCCAAAGTTTGAGCGCCGGTGGGCCGGGCTCTGAAAGCGGCGGGAACTGCAATTGGTCGCTTTGAAGGCGCTGCGAGCGGGAACGGCTGTGAAGTGAGATGGCTGGAGATGTTGGACGGTAAGAGAACACTAGAAGCACGGGATCGGGCCTCAGAGAGTGGTGGGAGCCTAGAGGAAGCCAGATCCTAGGCCACTGGGACGGCTTTTTATGGACTGCTGCACGACCTGAGTCGCAGGCTGGGAGCTGGGGATCACGTCTGGGCTGAGGTGGCAAGAGGGCGGTACCGCTCGATCGTGACGTCACAACTCCCAGGGCGGGGCCAAGCGAAAGGCACGTGTCAGGGCGGAAGCGGCCCTGTGTTATCACGTGACGGCCTGCTGATCTTTCGGAGTTTCGTACATCCTGTCTGTGCGCATAGTTGGGTGTTTTGTTTTGATTTGTTTTTTCACCTTGGTTTCCGTCTTTTTTCCGTCCTTGCTGCCTCTCCCATCGCTCCTGTGTTCTTTGTTGCTGCTCTTCAGCTATGTATCTTTACAGGAATGTTATTTAAAAGGAATATTTTTATCGTGAGGTGATTCTGTAATTACATCTTCAGCTCCTAACTGAATGCCACGCACCTTGCTAAGTAGAAAGAAAAAAGATACCATTGGGAATGAGAAAAGTTTTCCAAGAGTTTTCCAGTCTTACTTATGAGATTGAATGTGCTATGCTTGTAGAATTCTTGCAATGGCGGAGTGCGAAGAATCGTGAGATATTTGAAAATGCAAAACCTCAAGCCTTACTGGGCGCTCTCTTCCCCCAGTTTAACTCGATGGGGCCCGGGAATCTGCATTTTCAAGCTCACCCTGCCTCCTCCTAGTGTTGGCCAAGTGTTGCTTTGATGCTTTGCTGACTGTTGAGCCATAATCTTTGCAGGTCTTTTTTTTTTTTTTTTTAATTGCTTTGGGCATACTGCTTAGGGAGTAAGTATATCTAGGCATTCTTTCCACGCCCAATCCCAATCCCACTGTTATCAGTGATTCCGACTCATAAAGATCCTATAGGACAGGGTAGAACTACCCCTTAGGGTTTCCAAGGCAGTGAATCTTTACAGAAGCAGGTTGCTCCATCTTTCTTCCATTGGAACCACCAACCTTTTGGTTAGAAGCCCAATGCTTTAACCGTGCCACCAGAATTCCCTTCATTCCACCAGTATTTATTAAATACATACTGGACAGTGCTTAGACTGACTAGATTTACTGATTGACTAGATTCTGGTGTAGATTCTAGGGATAGAGCTATGAACAAGACAAACATTTCTTACCCTTGCAGATCTCAGTAAAATATTTATAGAGATAATAAAATAATCAACAAACAAGGTAATTCCAGATATTTCTGTAAAGACAATGCAGCTACTCCTCACTTACCACCTATCTCGTTATCCGACATTTTGCGTTTACCACAATAGTGGGGACTAAGATCCAACTATCTTGCATATTAACAGTGTACGTCTGGCAGTAATGAACAACTAGGTGCCAGGCAAGCATAACACTGGCTGTAATGTGTAAGGTTATGTGTCAGCTTTGCTGGGCTCTGATTCTTAGTGGTTGGCAGTTATGTAATGATATAATCATCCTCAGTTATGTGATATGATCATGCTCTGTTTTTGCATAGCACCAACTTTTGTATAACAGTCTGGTCTTTGGGACCTAGCCATGTTGACAAGTGAGCAGTGGGTGTACATGGTGGAATGCAGAAAAGGTGTGATCAGAAATCTCTCAGAGGAGAAGGTATCTATCCCAAGATCTGGATTACAAGAAGACGCCGCCCATGTTAATTTGTGCAGGAAGACTCTTCTAGAGAGCAGTACCTAAGGTGGTGCTTTGTAGGAGAGATCATTTTGTACTGGAGAAGCTAATCAGCAGGTATAGCTGAGCAGAAAAGCCCAGGTGAAAATGGGAGATGATGAGAAGAGAGCTCAGTCCGGATATTGGAGGGCCTTGTCAACCATGGGAAAGGTTTTAGTCTTCCCTGTAAAGCAGTATGGTCCTGTGTTTTGACAAGGAAACAATAGGGCTAAATTTTCATGATCCTAATTCTCTTCCCAAGTTCTTAATCCAGTTACTTTCTCTTTCCAAATGACTCCTAATCATTCCTCTTTGTCATTTTTGCTATCTTTTTAAAATGGAGTCAAGTACCCATATCTTTTCAGAAATGGGCATTTATAAATTATATGCAATATTCAAAAAACAGTTAAGATCCAAGGCACAACAACTGGTCTCTTTTTGCTTAGAGCAAAAGAAGAAGGAGAGTCAGGAATAGGAGGATATGGAATGTGTGGCTAATTGCCTCCACAAACAACTGCCTGCTTTGCCATGAGACCAGAACTAGATGGTGCCTGGCTGTCATTACTGAACATTTTCACCAAAGATTCTGTAGAAGAATCTTGATCAAAAAGGGGGAAATACAGAATAGAATTTGAAATTCTAAATGGAGCCATTGAAGGACAAACCCCTGAAACTACTGCCCTGAGATAATCTTTAAACCTTAAACCAAAAATATCCCTGAAGTCTTCTTGAAACCAAACAGTTTAGCTTTGTTAGTGAAAAATATCTGCCTTGAGCATCATGCCCTTTGAAGAACCCTATGCGATCAAACTGACAACAGCAACTTGAAAGATTAGACCGGAGCGTTTGGAGCCAGTGAGCTTATGTTAATGGAGGAGGAGCAACTCAGAAAAGGAGGGTGAGAATGGCACAATTTAAATGTAATCACTGAATGCTACATGTAGAAACTGTTGAATAAATGTATATTTTGCTATGTATATTCTCAACAAAACAATGAAATAAATAAAACGAAAACACACACATGCACTTAAGATATGGTGCAAATAAACCACAACCAGAATTCCTGTAGGGGGATACTCCTGGGTTGTGTCCTTGGGCATCCCATAGATGATGGTGGACACTGCCTCGTTTGTGCCTCTTGTCGTGGACATGGACACCAAGATCCGAGTGCCCCTGACTGAAAGATAGAATGTCAAGGAAAGTGAAAGTCTGCAGATCTCCTGCTTTGTCTTTGCTTGGAAATCAAGTTTCTACGCTTTTGATGTTCTATATTTAAAAAAGCAGAGGGAGGACATGCCATCAGTTTCCACAAAGGAGGTGGCAGGATGAAGGTTGACTGTCACACTTGGCCCACAGCTTCTGACCTGAGGAAAGGAGTAAAAGTGTTCAGAATCCCCCTTGCTTGTGCCTCATCTTAATATAGCCCTTGGTCGTGCTCGTGAAGACAACTGCTCTTGCCTGTTGCTGAGCGAGCCGCACCTGAATGGAGGCTCAAGAACCTTTGGACAGTTGAAGAATGTCGTCTACAGGCATGGGGCAAGAAAAGTGCAGGTAGTAGTTCTGTGTTAATTGGTGACTCATTCAAGAATAATGAGGCCACAGTCTTGTCTTATTTCTAGCTATTGGTGTATCTTCTGGACTCATAAACCCAGCTATTTATTCAGTATCTCCACTTGGAGTCTAACAGTTATCTTAGGACTTACAGGCTCCAAATAGAATTGAGATTTTCTCTGCCCTACCGCAGTCTTCCCTATCTCATCAGTCTTCCCCATGCAGATGGTAACTGCAACTCCATCTTTTGAGTTGCCTGGTAAAATCCTAGATACCACCATCGAATCCTCACTTTTCTCTCAACCCTCTCCCCCAAATCTAATGGATCAGGAAATCCTATGGGTTCTCTCTTAGAAATATCCAGAATCTGACCACTTCCCTCATTGGTCTACCATCATCTCGTACCTACATCACTGCTGTAGCCTCCTGCTTCTATCCTTGCCTCCCTAGACTTTCTCCTCAGCATGGCAGCCAAATTAATCGCAGCAGAAAACTAAATGAGAGCTTGTCCCACCTCCGTTCAGAACCTTCCAGCAGTTTCTGTCAGTGTAAAAGCCTTGATCCTTACAGTTGCGCACAGGGCCCTCCATGATCTCTGACCTAACCTACTTTCCTGCCCCCCTCCATCTCTCTACTTCACCTCACTGGAAGACTCCTGGCTGGTCCTTGACTGCCCCCAGGCAAGCTCACATCTCAGGCCTCTCCCTCTGTCTGGACAGCCCCTCCACCAGAGAGCCACGTGGTGCTCCTTCTCCTCTAATGATTGGCTCAGATGTCGCCTTCTGGAGGCCTACCTACTCTGTCTACTCCCTCCCCAACTTCATTCCCAAAGCACCTAACTCTACTCCATTTTTTTCCCACAATACTTGCCACTTTTAACCTATTTTATCATTTCCCTATTGTCTCTCTCCCCACTAGGTGGACACTCCATACTGGCAGAGGGTTTGTCTGTCTTGCCCATGGCCGTATCTATCCCCAGTGCTTAGAAAAGTGTCTGGCACACGTAGGAGCCTGGTAATTTGTGACATGAATCACTGAATGAATGGTTTACATATCATTGTCATCAAATGATCAAAATGTTCTAGCCAAGAAAAGAAAGAGTGCTCATTTTGAAAAACTCTAAAACATGTATATACAGCTTAAGGAGAAAATAAATCCTCATGTTGAAATACTGTTTGCAGAATGGCTGAAGAAAAGGTAACCATTTTCGTATCTGACCCACAAATCAAAATCCTGGCTAAAGATATGCTGGAAAATTCATAATGCAGCTGCTGTATTTGGTTAATACTTTGTTGTACTGTTTTTGTTTTGTTAAAGTGCCACAGAGATGGATGAGACAGTTGCCGAGTTTATCAAGAGAATCTTCTTGAAGATCCCAATGACTGAAATGATGACAATCCTGAGGACATGGGATGTTCTGTCTGAAAGTCAGCTGCAGACCGTAAATTTCCGGCAGAGAAAGGAACCTCTTATTCAGGACTTGGTTCTGCTCTGTGAGGTAATAACATGCTTCTCCTTTGTTCTTTTTCTTTCTTCCCCAACAGGGATTTAAGGCAGCTATTAAACTGTCAAACGATGAGAGCTATATTCTAGTCTCACTCAATGCTGTGGAGTCAGATCCGACTCATAACGACCCCTCCTTGGGTTTCTGAGGGGGTATCTCTATGGAAGTAGATTGCCCAACCTTCCTTCCAAGGAGTGCCTCGTGGGTTTGAACTGCCAGCCTTCTGGTTAGCAGTCAAATGCCTTAGGCACTACACCACCAGAGCTCCTATATTCTACTCTAGAGAAGAAGAAAAGATTACAGCCTTGGAAACCCTATGGGGCAGTTCTCCTCTGTCCTATAGGGTCACTATGAGTTGGAATCCACTCAACACAACAGCAATTGCCTTTTACAGAGAATCCTGAAATAGCAAGAAGAGAAAAAGAAGTATCTACCACGGAGGAAACAAAATGCATAATACAAGTTGAAATAATAAGCCATACTTTTTCATCTATCAGATTATCAAAGGCGAAGAGGTAATAATATTCAGATATTTTGGCAAAGGTTTGAGGAAAGACATTTTTTTTTCTTTCACATGTATTTGTCTATTTCTTTGCTTTTTGTTTTAAAATCATTTCGAACTTTCAGAAAAGTTACAAGTATAGTCAAACAATTCCTATAGACTCTTCCTTATTCCCTTTTAAATGTATATATTTTTTTAACTCGGCAGTTCTATTTCTGTAAGTTTATACTGAGGGAATAATAAAAAATAAGGAGATATAGGTAAACAATATTTTAATTTATAATCATCTATATATTTGTATCTAATTATTTGTACATTTAAAGACGTATAATTTAGAATATATTTTATATCTAAATATTTACATGGACTTAAGGATGGCAAATAGGCATATGAAAATATGCTCAAAATTATTGCTGTTGTTAGGGGCCATTGAGTGTATTCAACTGGTAATAGCCCCGTGTGACATAGTAAAACTACTCCACTGGGTTTTCTAGGCTATAAAGTTTATAGGAGCAGATTGCCATCTTTCTCTTATGGATCTGCTGGGTGGGTTCAAACCACCAACCTTTCAGTTTGTAGCAAAGCACTTAACCATTGCACCACCAAGGCTCCTCCTCAAAATCATTAGACGTTGTTGTTGTTGTTGTTGTATGCCGTCAAGTCGGCCCCGACTCATAGCAACCCCTCCTTGGGTTTCCGAGGCAGTATCACTAGGGAAGTAGGATTGCCCAACCTTCCATTAGATATTAGGAAAATGCAAAATAAAATCACCATAAGATACCCAACACACTTATTACAATGACTACAATTTAAAAGACTGACCACATCAGGTGGTCACTAAAATGTGGAGGAAGTAGAACTTTCCTGTTCTCTGGTGTGACTGTCAAGTGGTACAGCCACTTTGGAAATCAGTTTGCAGTTTGTTTAAAAGTTAGGCGTACACCTACCATGTGATTTAGCCTTTCTACTCCTAGGTATTTACTGAAAAGAAATGAAATCGTGTTCACACAAATGTTCTTAGCAACATTATTCATAATACCCCCAAACTGGAAACAACCCAAATGTCCATCAAAAGGTAAATGGATCAACAAATTGTGATGTATGCATACACTGTAGTACTACTCAGCAATAAAAAGGATTGGACTGTTGATAGCTGCCAAAACACGGATGAATGTTAAAATAATTCTACTGAGTAAAAGAAGCCAGGCCCCTCCAAAATAAGTAAATAAAGAGTACGTGCCTATAACATTCCTATGAAACACTAGAAAATGTAAGCTAGTCTGTAGTGACAGATTGCAGCTGAGCAATTGCCTCAGAACCCTAGGGTGGGACATGGGTGGGCGCAGGGATAAGAAATTGGATACAGGACATTTGGGGAGCTAGTGTGTGTGTTCACTGTCTTGATTATAGTGATGTCAGAACTTCAGACTGTGCCCTTTAAATATGTGCAGTTCACTGTATACAAATTATACCTCAGTAAAGCTGTTTAAAACACAAAACAACAAGTTATAGGTGATGAACGAGGAGTGGACTGTGGGGGAACAGCTGAGTGCCTGTGGTTGACTAATAGGAAAAGGTAGGCTAGAGATAGGGCAAGGAAGAGATAGTAAAGTATTAAGGATCAAATTGATCACATTCACTAAATAATTTATCCTCTCTTTCAGGAGAAGTGTACAAGTCTGGATGACGTGGCCCTTTTAGACATTATTTGTAAGTTCCAATGATTTGAATTTTGCCCTTAGCAATCTGTTTCATCAGAAAAGGAATTTGGTGTGAAATATATAAGGGCTCAGATTCTAGAATCAAGGAGACTTGGTTTCATATCCCAGCTCTATCACTGTAGCTGAATGTATTTAGAGAATATGCCTTTGATTTAGTTTGTCTGGCTTTCCATGATTTGTTCACATCTGGTCCAGAAGGAAGGTTGGGCAATCCACTTCCATAGTGATACTGGCTCGGACACCCAAGGAGGGGTCGCTGTGAGTCAGATCTGACTCGGCAGCAGTGGTAGTCTACAAAATTGGATCCACACGTCTAGCAATTCTCATGCATTCACGGACATTTTTATCAGGCACCTGTCCTGTGCCAGGTAGGATGCCAGGCACTGCTGAGCATACTCCCTTAGAGGCCCTGTCTAATCAAGGAGACAAATTAGTCAGTTATACAAATGCATCCCTGCAGATTATAATAAATGCTACAAAGGAGGGAAATAGAGGCGAGTCCAGGAGTCCATAGTGAGACCACACTATTTTGCACTGCAACCTGCCCCTGACCTCACTCTTTCTCTTTTTTCCATTGTACTTGCCACTTCTCCCAAACATCAGACTTTTGTGTGTATGATGTCTATGGTTAGTTATCTTCTGCCCCTGGTAAAATATAAACTCCCTAAGAATGGAGATCTTTGCTTTCTTTCATGGATATTCCCCAAGTCCCTAGGATAGTGCCAGCACATAGGAGGCCTCCAATACAAATATGTTCAGTGAAAGAGCAAATGAACATTCTGAAATGCTGCTGATGAAGAAGGATAAGGGCAGCAAAAGGCAATGGAGAGAACATCGGGCCCTTGGAAAGACCATTTTAATGAGGTGGTGGACCACATTGTTGGGTGGATTGACAAGGGGCTGGGCAGTGAGGAACCAGAAACAGTGAAGACAGTCGCTCCAGGAGCTTGAGAAATAGGGTGGCAGCTGGAGGGGACACAGTGCATTCCTTAGGATGATGGCTGCATCTTCAAGGGCGAGTTCAGTCACATTCACACTAAGCTGGAAAGTAGGTCTCCATTGATTTCAGCATGTTTGCTGGATGCCCGCCATGTTCAAGGCAGTGTGCTACATGCTGAGGAATGTTCAGGGATCTGGGAAAAGAGTCATGTGGACCACAACATTGGCTGTCATGCTGGATGAATATGGCATTCTTTGGAATGTGTGGATACTGTGTGGAAGTTGAACAAACGGCCTTACATGAAAATAAATGCTACTGTATTATCTAGTTTGGTTGCATTAAGTAATTCTTCATGATTTGTTATGTCTGCTTTCACTTTTCTTATTATTTATTTTTTTATTGTTGAGAATATACACAGCAGAATATACACCAGTTCAACAATTTGTACCCAGACAATTCAGTGACGTTGAAGACATTCTTCAACTTGTGTAGCCATTCTTCACCTCCTTTTCTGTGTTGTTCTTCCCCATTAACATAAACTCACTGCCCCTAAGTTTCCTATTATTTGAAGTAAATTTAATCCATATGAAGTTTGTATTTTGAAGAAAAAAAAATCTAACTCGATTTGGGTAAGCACAGAACTGCTAACCAAAAGGTCAGGGGTTTGAACCCATCTAACAGTTCTATAGAAGAAAGACCTGAGAGTCTGCTCCCATGAAAAGACAGCCTAGAAAACACTGTGAGGCAGTTCTACTCTGTCCTATAGGGTTGCTATGAGTCAGAATCCGTTTGATAGCACACAATAACATCATCTAACTTGTGAACTACACTTGGTTTCATATATTGAAATTGCTTCACATCACTTCAGAGTTCTTTGCTATAATATCAAGTGTTAAGCTGTTCCTCCTCCTTTCAGATAACCAGATCCATCGGCACCAGAAACTTTGGGATGTTTTTAAGATGAGTAAAGGATCAGGTAATATTTTCCATTTTAAACAGAATGTTTGTATTTGACATTTTGGCAGTTTAAAAATAAATAACAATGTGTTCCTCTTACATCTTTTTTCTTTCAAAGTAAGGTGACTATTACTGTTTATGAAAAAAATGAGAAATATATTTGGTATCATAGGTACTAATAGCATTTGTGAATTTGACCATTATTACTCTTGAGATTACACAGAATACTTAGCTTCAGGGTTCTTTGCAAGTACATTTATTAAAGATGCAGAGCTCTTGATTTTTCTTTTCACTTTGACAGGGGAAGACATTGACCTTTTTGATATAGAACAGTTCAAAAGTTCATTCATGAAAATTCTTCGGAGAGCATTAAAAAACGTAAGAATAAAATTCATTAGAATTACCAGTAACTTCATTTTCATGGTACCTGAACACTTCAGATTTGTTACTTCCTTGTTATTCTTTTAATTTAAGCAGCCCTGGTGCACAGTTGATAAGTGCTTAGCTGCTAACTGAAAGGTCAGTGGTTTGAACCCACCAGTTGCTCCACAGGAGAAAAATGAGGTAGTCTGCCTCTGTAAAGATTGAGAGCCTTGGAAACCCTACGGGGCAGTTCTACTCTGTCCTCTAGGGGCACTGTGGGTTGGAATCAACTCTGACGCTAGGCAGAAAAGATACTCAACATTCATTGCTTATTCTCAACAAGGCCACACATCAGACAACTAGTAGTCAATAACCCCTTATTCCTGCATCTTTACCCTCTCCTGGTTGCCTTCTGCCCATCCTAACTCTTCCATTATTTTCTCCATGGCTAACCCTGCCCTTCTCTGGAGCATCTACATGGTTCCACACTCAGCCCTCCTGTAACAAGGGTAAGCTTCTACCTCGGTGGAAGGGAGGGAGGGAATTAGGGATAGTTTTTGAATTCTTTCTCAGAGGGCTGCCACATTGTCCGAACACTGTTGACCAATTTTGCTTTCTCGGCTGGTTTGTCATGTGTGCACCCTCAGATGCCTTGGCTTCTAGAGTCTATCCTCCTCCCTGGTCTGCTCTTTCCATGCCTTCGTGACCCACTGACCCACTCCTGATCTTTAGGCTGTTCCCTCTCCTTGGAACAACCTCCGCCCCGCTGATATCCATTTACATAGTATTCCCTCAGAGTGCCCTCCTTGGCCTCTGAACTGTGGCCTCAGCTTTGTGCTCTTGTCTCACTGCTTTCCACACAATGTTCTTGGCAACTCCTGCTTTACCTGCCAGTCTTCCTCCCCAGCCTGAGAATAGGACTCTGACCGTCATGCTGCCCACAGCCCCAGCAAATACTGAGGAATCACTCAGGCACCAGCCAGAAAACAAACCCACTGACAAGTCGATTCCAACTCGTAGTGAGCCTAAAGGACCCTTATGGTTTCCAGAGCCGTAAATCTTTATGGAAACAGATTGCCTCATCTTTCTCCTGCAGAGTAGCTGGTGGGTTTGAACTGCCGACCTTTGTTTAGCAGCCAAGTGCTTTAACCATTGTGCCACCAGAGATCCTCAATTATGCGCAGTCTTTGCAAATTCCCCATTCCTTTTCCCAATATTTTAGTGCCTGTTAAGGCAGGTCAACACTGACCCTGCCCTCAGTTACTCTTCTTTACTGAAAATGCCCTGATTGGTTTTCCAGATGAACCCAGAATTATCTTACCAGGTTACAAAACAACACAAGATCTTCACCATATTGAGTTTTTAGCATCTGCACTAAGTACATAAGAGCATTAGGATTGGTCTATTTTAAGCCCATGACTACATAGAAATCTTACTATTAAATTTTTTAATGCACACTAGTTCTGCCTAGGTGCCAAAAGGGCTTCATTATAAAATTGTTGTTGTTGTTATGTGCCGTTGAGTCGGCCCCGACTCATAGCGACCCCTCCTTGGGTTTCCGAGGCATTATCACTACGGAAGTAGGATTGCCCAACCTTCCTTCCGAGGAATGGCTGGTGGGTGTGAACCGCCAGCTTTCTGGTTTCATTATAAAATAGGAATCTTATATACAAGCCTGTCTTACTTTATAAACTCTTTTTTAAAATTTTTATTATGATTTGAGTGGAAGTTTACAGAGCAAATTCATTTTCCATGCAGCAATTCATACACGTTTTGTTTCATGACATTGACTATACTCGCCACAGTGTAACAGCTCTCTTCCCACTTCCTCCTTGTAGCTACCTCTTCCCTGTGTCTTTCTTTCCTATGCATTCATGTCCCCTGAGCTATCTCCCTGGGAAAATACTGCCCTTCTCTTCTCCCATGATTGATTGTTCTAAGGAGTGTATCCACCTGGTGTACATGTTCACCCTGTATGCGTGTCTGTTGTTTGGCTGGAAGCCACAGGAGTGAGTTCAATTCCAGGCCTAAAGACTAACTAGGGGCCATGGTCTCGGAGGTTTCCTCAGGCTCTATCAGACCAATAAGCCTGGTTTTTTGGGGGGGTTTTTTCAATGATTTTGAGGGTTTTTTTTGTTTTGTTTTGTTTTTTGAGTTTTATTGCACATTGTTCTCCCACGCTATCCAAGATCTCCTGCACTGATCCCTTTCTCGATGATTGACAGTGGTAACCGGGCACCATCTAGTTCTTCTGGTCTTATGGTCATGTAGGCTGAGGTTTGCATGGTCCACTAGTCCCTAGAATTGATTGTTTCCAGGTGTCTTTGTTTTTCTTCATTCTTCTTTGTTGCAGATGAGGAGTGACCAATTGTTAACATCTAGTTGGCCGCTTGCAAGCTTTCAAGACCCTAGTCGCTACTCACCAGAGTAGGATGTAGAACAATGTTTTTGTGTAGTGTGTTATGCCAATTAAGCTTGATTTCCCTTGTGACCATGGTCCCAAGCCCACAGGTCCAATAACTCGCTCCATCAGAGTGGTTGACTGTAGCTGAGAAGTTATCATAACTTTGCCCACTGTACTGTTTATATGGATATTTTCACAGCACATACAAATGCATATGTACACCTATCGTCTGCCAACCTAATACATGTTCATGAGTATATTCCCTTTTACATAGATATATCTGTACTTCATAAACTCTTACAGGAACACAGCTTTTCAGGACAAGCCCAGGAAATTAAGGAAACATTTTGATAACATACCATGATTGTGGCTTTTAATTTTTTTTTTCCTTCCAGAAGACTTTGCAAGGCATACATGTTTGCAAAACAAAGATGAAATATTTTCCCAAAAGTTCTCTAAACACTGTAAGAAACAATAGGAGAAAAGACTGACAGATCTCAACCTGTGTGTGAGATTACAGTGACATTTTGCACCCCTAGAAAACACCTGTCCTTGGTGCCACAATAAGATTTTAATTAGGAAACTTCCCTCTTTCTTATTAAGGTGACAGTCAGCTTCAGAGCCGCAGAGGAGAATGCAGTATGGATTCGAATTGCCTGGGGAACACATCACACAAAGCCAAACCAGTACAAAGCTACCTATGTGGTGTATTACCCCCAGACTCCCTATGTGTTTGTATCTGTCTCCAGGCTGAAGAGCAATGTGCCCCTTTTGGGTCAGGTATGGAACAAATTATTGGAACGTATCATACTATGTTATCCTCACTACAAAGGGCTGTATAGGTTTGAACTGCTCAGTAGGCATCTCACAGGGAATACCACATGTAATTCTTGATCATCTAAAATAAAGGAACAGAAAGGGCTGTTGTTGTCAAGTGAGAGCATGGCTAAGAAACTGATTTGGCTCTCTTTTTTGTTTTTATCATTTAATCTAGAAGTAATGCATACTTAATGCAAAAAAAAATTCAACCAATCCAGAAGTCTCTGAAAAGGAAAGTCTGAGCTCTTCATATCCCTGAATACAATTCCATTTTCCCCAGATAACTACTGTTGGCAGTTTTATAGTTTTCTTTTGGAAATAGCTTTATCACATACCCTCCCGTAGTTTGCTTTTTTCCCTCAGCATGTGGTCACCTTCCCACGTGGTCATCTGTGACTACACCTTCCTGCTCTTTCCTAACAGGCGTCATTTGTAGCCACTCCCCACATTCTGTTCCCAAGGAAGCTCCTTTAACAGGACCTGGGGATCTTCTGTTTGAAGGCTGCTCTCTGTATTGGTCTATCCTTGGTGTCACTGGCTTCCTGGATCTTTCTGCAAAGGAAGCCTTCCCTGAATGGGTCTGGTGACTCCTGCAGCTTCCCTCTCAATGAGCATTTACAGCAGCCCAAATGGCACCCAGGTGGGTTCCAGCTGTGCCACTTGAGCCAGCGGTAGGTAAGCAGCTCCACTGGCCTGACCACACCATTCGGGTGCTAGAAGAGTCCCGATCACTCCTGTGTTGGGAACCCAGTGAGCCACAGGATCCCAGCACACGTGCTTTCTCGTCATGTCAGTTCCTTGGTTTTTTGAAATGGAAGCAAGATGTCTGCTGTTTGCTTCTTCTTCCCTTTTGTTAACATTTCACTCTGCCTCTTTCTCTATGATACACAGTGGGTGTTCATCCTCTCACAGTGGGGACTCCACCCTGCCACAGCCAGTTTAAACACTACCTCAGAGGCTAAGGTTCATTTCTGTTGTGTATCTTAATGCAGACTATTCTTGAGTTCTAGGTAAATGTGTTATTCCATTAGTTCTGTTTCAGTCTTCTGCTTGTCTCCCTGGGTCATAGAGAACTTTCATAAATGATCTGTGTATTTATTTATAAATTTTTATTGTGATTTGGGTGTAAGTTTACTGAACAAATTGGTTTTTCATTCAATAGTTGATGCACATTTCAGGACATTGATTGCAGTCCTCACAACATACAGCTCTCTTCCCACATCCTCCCTGTGTGTGTCATTTCTGTTGGTCCTTCTTTCCTAGCCCTTCCTGCCTTCTGAATTTTATCCTCGGGCAGGTGCTGTTCTTTTGATTTCGTATGGTTAATTGTTGTAAAAACTCCAGACCTCCTGGTGTTACTGTTTATAAATTGCATTTCATGTGCATGTTTTCCTTCAGTATTTGAACTATAGCATGCATTTTGCATTTTTGAATGGCAGTGTCATTGTACTGTCAGATGAGTGGTTTTCTAAAACCATAACGTTATGAGCATTCACTGTATACTCCTAAATCTGAATTTGATTTATTATAAACAAGATCACTTCTTTTTAAATGATACAGAAGATTTTACAGTTGTGGCAACGTTAGTGCCGTTAGCCACTTTCTTGATCATTTAAATGGAGTGACAAGCTATGAGATTATATATTTCTGGATTTCTTTTCCACTCTTCCGTGAAAACTATTCCCTGATTATAGACCCTACACTTTACTTTGACAAGTATTACAAACATGGAGCCAGTCATCCTAATAATCTTGCTAATTTTCATTTCAAGGCACTGATGATTGCTAGCAAACACCATCATATTGTGAAAATGGACCTCAGGAGCCGGTATCTGGACTCCCTCAAGGCTATTGTTTTTAAGCAATATAATCAGGTAAGCCAGTTGGTGAATCTTTAAAGTTAAGTGTTAATCCTTTGTTTCCTGCGTGGGTTTAGAAGCCACTGAGCAAGTAGGAAATTCTGCCTCCAACAAGAGATCACTACATATTATGGAAGTGAAGAGAAAGCTTTCCAGAAGATGACATCAAAGGAAACAAAACAATTTCTCACCATCATCTTTTTATAATTCTGTTGAATTTTGTATTGCTCATTGTCATTGTTATGTGCTGTTGAGTCAATTACAACTCATAAAGACCCTCTAGGACAGAGTAGAACTGTCCTACGGTTTGCTAGTAGGTTTTCTTTTGGAAGAACTCTGTTGACCTAGTGCCTAAGGCATTTGACTGCTAACCAGAAGGCTGGTGGTTCAAACCCACCAGCCACTCCTCGGAAGGAAGGTTGGGCGATCTACTTCAGTAGTGATACTGCCTCGGAAACCCAAGGAGGGGTCGCTGTGAGTTGGGTTTGACTCAACTGCAGTGAGTTTGGATTTTTTGGTTTGGAGTCTTTATGGAAGTGGATCACCAGGTCTTTTTTCCAGCACAGTGTAGGGTCTATAATAAAAATAATAATAATTTTATGTCTCTCTGTATTACGACGTCTTCCAGGTAGCAGCTGAGCATCTAACCACTGTTCTACCAGGCCTCTTTTTGTACTGCTTATTAGCCACTGGAATCTATGTTGTAGATCCAAGTTTCCAAAGCAGCTTTCTCAATTAGAGTTTATTTTCTCCTGAGAGAAACTTGACACTGTTTTGAAGCTAATTATATAGTATAGTCACGAAACATCTGTCAGTTTGTCAGACTGTGGTGGCTTGCATATTGCTAGGATGCTGGAAGCTATGCCACTGGTGTTTCAGATACCATCAGGGTCACCCATGGTGCATAGGTTTCAGCAGAGCTTCCAGACTAAGACAGACTAGAAAGAGAGGCCTGGTGATCTGCTTCCTCAGATGAGTCAGTGAAAACCCTGCGGGTCACCATACAATATTGTCTGACATAATGATGGAAGACAAGCTTCCTGGGTTGGAAGGCACTGAAGTACACGGGGGCCACAGGGAGGCACTCGAGCACCCCAGTGATCATGACGCAGATGGTGCGGGACCAGGCACTCTTTCGTTTTACTGTACATGGGGTCACCACGGGTCGCAGCCAACTGAGAGGCAAATAACACAAACGTCGTGATACAGAGAGACATAAAATTATTATTATTTCCTTTTTATCTTGTAAGAGAAGCAGGTGCTGCATGGATTGTGATTAAGGAAAAAGCAATGATTTATTACGTCTCACAGTTTATTTGTGTTGACATTATTTAAATACATTGTTCCTTTAATGATAAGAAACAACCCATCCCCATTCACCAGGCCTCGGCTGTTTCTTTCCTCTGCATGACAAACGTGTGCTCACGTGATCCAATTCCAATAGATGGGTGATTAAGGCTCTGTGTGTATCTGGAGCCCTTGAATGTGTTAAGCTTACACATTCTCATCTGTTCTAAGAGGAAATAAGTGGTGGCTATCTACAAGCTATTCTCTAAGAAAAATATGTAACATTAACCAATTAGATAATGATTTTCTCCCATAGCTGTGACCTCCCACTAAACTGGTATAAACTATTCTATAATGTGACAATTCTGTTCCTAGGAAACTTCACATTGTCAATACTTTATTATAAAACCAACAGCTTCAGTAGCGGAAAGTAGAATTAGGGGTTTGAGAGATTCAGATTTGTAATACAGAAGTTACTTCTCTAAAAGGAATTTCAGTGAGGTTTTTTAGGGCTACAAAGGCATCGAGGAACTCTGATGGCATGGTGCTTAAAAGCATTGGGTGCTAACCAAAAGGTCAGTAGTTCACACCCACCAGCTATGCCAGTGGGAGAATGACGAGGCAGTCTGCTTCCATAAAGATTTACAGGCTTGGAAACCCTATGGGGCAGTTCTCTGTCTTTGCAGCATACTTTGAGTTGGAATTGACCCAATGGCAGTGGTTTGTTTGGTTCTGAAGGCATCACCTTGTTTTTGAGTCCTCTAGCTTTTGCTGTCATCATCTAATCCTCTTATAGATCATTTTTTTAATAAGCTCCTCACACAGAAGAGCCGTATGGCTTGCCCAGCAGTCTCCTTGGAGACACCCTGCTCTGGGGGAAATGCACACTCAACAAAACGTGACTTGGGATCTCTTTTTATTGGAAAAAAGTAGAGAGAATAGTTTTGGCGTACTTTTATGTATTAAAACTGATTAATATCTGTACTTCAAAATATTAAAATTAGGAGGCACATAGACCAAAGGAATTATTTGAAAGTCTAGCAATCAGTCAACTTGTACACCTGTGGACAGTTGTTTCTCAGCAAGGGTGTTGAGTCCATCCAATGTGGAAGGCCTGTTTAATACGTGGCACTAAGACAGTTGGGTTTCCATAACAGAAGAATTGACCTAGACACATACCTCATACCCTACACAAAAACTAAGAATGGATCAAGGGCTTAATATGAGAACTAAGACCATAAAACTCTTAGAAAAAAAACATAGGGGTAATGCTTTGGGACTGAGGAGTTTTATTGTTTTTTTAATTATTGTGGTTTGGGTGAAAGTTTACAAAGCAAATTCATTTTCCATACAGCAGTTCATGCACATTTTGTTTCATGACACTGACTGCAGTTCCTCAAGGCGTCACAGCTCTCTTCCCAGTTCCCCCTGCAATTACCTCTTTCCAGTGTGGGACCTAGTTTTTAACAATGGATTCTTAGATATGACACCAAAATCATGAGCAACAAAGGGCAACAAAGTGAGGAGACAATGTACAGGGGACTATATTTCTGATGAGAGCTTACTGTCCAGAATATGTAAAGAACTACAATTTTATTTTTGAAAAGATCAATAAAATTGACAAACCACTGGCAAATTTAACAAAGGAAAAGAGGGAGAGAATACAAATAACACGAATAAGAAATGAAATGGGTG